ATATATTATTTATTTTGCAATTAATTTGGCAAAATAAGCCCATGGAGGAGATGGTTGTTAAAATCTCCAGGTGTTGACCATTGCTCCCGCTGCAAGTACAAGCTTCAGTATGCCACTGGGAATTTTTAATGCCCCTGTGACGTGTTTCTGGGTCGATTCTGTGGACGTCATGTTCAACATTGAGTTTTAACTGTTCTATTGTTTGTGGGTTGTTTCCTTAGACTCTGTCCATAAAAATCCCAACGGTAACAATTGAAAGGGCTCAAATCTGGGGGAATGTGGTGACCATTCATTTATAAACTTTCGGCTTATGGGGCGTTCCCTGTACAGTTCTTACAATTACACAAGGGCAGCTCTTGATGCGTGATGTGTTGACCCATCTTGCCTAAACCAGGGCTCTACAGCATAAAATCCCCTTCCAAAGCTTCTGCAAAACTTTCTCAGTACAGTGAGATTATCCTGGGTTTACCACCCCTTGTCCTGGAACCAGAATGTGCCGAACACGCCCCTGTTGCTGAACGCTTTTAGCCTAAGAAGTAAAAGTTTGCGTTTTACCCAGAATTATTGACATTTTTATAGCTTAATATTTCTCGAACACTGATTGATTTGCTGCATATTTACAGACTTGATGTTGTCATAGTTGAATTTTATTTGTTTGACGTTTTGTTGAACTTGGTGCAGATAGGATTGAGTTATTGCCCTTTAAAGTTGGTCCTCTTTTTTTAAACACCCTGAACATGATGATTAATAAGAAGTATGAAAATATGACTGAGTAAAAATGAAAGACGGGTAATTTTTTCATCACAGATCCACTAACAGTTTTAATCACAGATCTTGTGTCTAGGCTGAGTTGTTTCAAAACACATATTTTTTTTTTTTACATGGATGGCACGTCTAAACAAAATCTCAAAACCATTAGAGTATGTCTCCTTATGCGCGACACGAAGTCGTGTCGAGCGCGGTCCTTGCCGCCCCAAAATCAATCAAGTAAGAATATTTTTAAAAACCCGTCTCCTTATACGCGACGCGACGTCTAGCCGCTAGCGACCGTCGCCTGCAATCGGTCCATGCAACGATCGAGACCTCTCACGCACTACAGATTGGGAGTGTGACAGGTTTAAAGTATCACCATTTATTAAAATACCTCGCCAAGAAGTGCCGGTCAACACTCCGTGTGATACTGTCGCTGAAAAGGATACACAGTTCTCGACAAATCGCTAACGACTGCGGCCCGTGCACATAATAGGAGACATAATATTTGACTTGCTGGTGAGGCTTGCATCACATATTCTTCAGTTGTTTACCGTTCCTATAATATCTATTTATCCATTCACTTGGAAAGTCACTCATACATTTAGTTTATAGTCTCGGCCTTTCCCTTATAATTGCTCTGGGTTGGTCTTCTAAGACAAGTAATTTCTATTCTCTTACTGTCTCCCAAAAGAAGTCAAACTCAACGTAGTGTTGGGTTTCTTTTTTTCAGTAATTCCACCACCCCACTTCCCCGACTTTCATTTTTTTTCTGTCCGTCAAATTCTTGTAACAATGTGTCGGCCCTATTTTGTCTAGTGATTAGATTCCTCACTTTTTGTTTCAGTCTACAGCAATACACAATTAAACCCAAGACCAAGAGAACAAGTACAATAATGATTACAAGCATAACCCATACAACACAGTTCTCTGTTTCCACGTTGGTGCAATTGGTACGTGCGTCTCCGAGTGTGGGTGTACTTGGGGGATCTTGTCTTGAGGACGATGGTGATAGAGTAGACGACCAGGAAGTGGACCACTTGTCAAAGAAGCTGGGTGAGCTAGTCGGCGGTGGCTGTGAGGACGTCAGAACTATAGGAAATGTCGAGAGGTGCGGTTTCCTGGGGATGTCAGAGGATGATTGGCGACATGTCCTGAATGTAGGGGTGCATTTCGAATGGAGTACCCGGTATAAATGATTGAATTGACTCTTGAACCCCGGACACAATCGAGAAGGTTTTCACTCGTCCCACGGCGCATGTATGAAAATGAGACAGTAATCTCACCTGTTCGTATCTCTCCACCGCTAAGTGACATCACACTTCTCAGACGTGCAACGAGAGGAAATTTTCTCATGAGCGTAGAGCCTTTGTCTCATCTCCTTCGCCTGATTTGAATTCTATGTAAATACCGGCGCAACAGCTTCTTCACTTTCGTGTGTCCGCGGTTAAAAAAAGACAAAAATAAATCGTTCTGTTTAACTGTCTCGGGTCTTTCATGTGGGTTTAAAAGTTGGATGACCAACAGAAAGCAAATTAGTATTAATGAAGCTCACTATAGACTAAGGTACCGACAGGTTTTCTTTGATGTTAACCTAAAGTTGGTAAAAGCATAATTGGGGATTTACAGTTACACTTAAAACATCAAAAAGTAGATCTATTTTCACTAACACCACACTTTAACGCACACCTATGAAACACGGTCCAACAGACTTTGTGAAGCTTTTGGAGACTCACGGGGAGACGTCTAGACAGAAATGTGGGGACAGGGTAGTGTCGCTGTCTCAAAATCAGCAATTTGTAGGCGAGGCTACGGTATCATAAATCATGCATTGTAGTGGTCCTGGGCCTGTGTGTGCACCCAATGGACGGTGTTTAATACAGGTAGAGGGTCTAAATAAAAGATTTTAAAAAATCTATTGGGGAAAATATTTTTCGTTGGTCGCTGGCAAACAGAACTATTTCTTAAACGCGGACAGACGAAAATGAACAAGCTATAGTACTGAATAATATCACTTCCACCTCCCACTTTGACCTTAACTGAGAAGGCTAGGAGTTAGACATTATTGTCCATTTCCTAGTAAGATAAAGGGTGGGGCTGAAAGTAGTGAAAGGAAGCAGCAGGAAGGAGCCGAGGAGTAGCAGTAGAAAGTAGCAGAAAGAGTCAGGATCCCAGTGCAGGGGGCAAATGGAAGGGGGGGGGGGAAGAGGAGAGGAAAGCAGACGACAGAACATGATTAGAGAGCTGGAAAGGTGAAAGAAGGAAGTTTCTAGAGAAAATAAAATGTCCGTCGCAGTCAGGTTTCGAACCCAGGATCTATTGAATAAGACCGCACCTCTAGACCAAGAGAGCTCCCTCCCCCGTTGAAATTTTACGGTATTTGCAACACAATAAGATCATATAGATCTAAGTGCGGAAGATTAGAGGTGCTACCAGAGAGTAACAAACAGAAAACAGAAGGAGAGGAGATAAGGACGATCGAAGTTTGATAGAAAAGGACCAAACCACACCAGAGCACCCAACAACCGCCTGCACAATCTACTCTTTCAAAGTACCCAGAGTAGAGTGGCAGCCAGCATCAGTCCTTTTAGTAATGGCCTAAGATAAATTTTATTTTCCACACCTATTACATCGCCGACAGATTTGTGTGGCTATTCCTCGAACGTAACAAAAATACATTGAGAAGCTTTTAAGGCTTCACATGTCGGCGAGAAATGAATAATTAATCACTTGAGTTGTAGTCATAATGCGAACGGTTGTTGGGTTTATTATTAAAGAAACAGATCATTTCGAAATAGAGATATAAATTTTTTCCCATTGTTTAAAAACCCTTTTCATATCCTCGATTTACTCTTTTTTTTTTCCTCCTTCTCTTTCATCTTTCGGCAGTCTATTCTTTTCTTCTTCCTATCATTTCACCCTTCTCAACTAGTTTTTTTTCCTTCCCTTTGATCTGTTTTCTTCTTTTTTTTAGCCCCCCC